TGACATTGGTAAGAAACATCTAACAGAAGCTGGGTAATTACCTGGGTGTTCACTACAACTGGTTGTCCTAATCCAAATACTGCATACAACAAATGCCAAGGTGACCTAGCCAAGGTGCAAGGAATTATTTAACAACAACAAAACCCCCACAATCAAAAGCCAAAGTAAAAGCATGGGGTTTTTTTTTCCCCTCTGCCAACCCAGATCCAGTTTCTATTCACTTGGCAACGATGTTTCCAATCAAGTCAAGAACTTCACCAAACTCATTTTTCTTCTCAGATTTCGGCAACCAAAAGGAGCAGATTCTCACAGGCTTGAAAAGCAAAGCAGCCCCTAAACCAATATTCCTTTATGCCCTTGGAAACAGCATGACAATGCATTCTCACATGACCGGGAGCCATCCACAAAGTTGCACAAATATTTGATTATGTCCTTAAGTATTATTTGGACTGGAGTGCAGCAGGGGAGGAGGAAAGGGGAGAGTGCACTTCTGTGTTAGTCCCTAGTCATTCACCCAGACTTCCCTACCAGAAGCTATTTTGGGATTGGGCACCATTCTAGTATTACATAAGTGCCCATGATTAAGTTTTTTTTTTCATGCTTCAGCTGAATATGCTTATTTCTTTGTGGTTCATTCTTACTAATGATTTGAGATAATTGATTTTTTTTTTTTTTTTTTTTTTTTTTAGGAAAAGGCAAATGCAGGCACCACAGGACTCACCTTCAGCTGTAAGCAATCTCCCTAAATTGAAGAGGCTGCAGTATCACTTTTTCTTTCCAAAATCTTAGGAGAAGTTAAAGTTACTTCCTACCACTGATTTGAGATGATTATTCAATGTGAGAATGAAAGAAGGTAACTAATTAAACTATCAACCCAGTTGATGATACAAAAAAAAATTATAGTAACATTACATTAAAGAAGTAACAATCAAAAGTCCCTCAAAATAAGCAGCTAGTATTTTATAATTACTTTAAGCGTTGAAATTCTTTCTAGATTAGGGAAGTAGAAAATATCCAGTCACTTAAATTGTAATAGTTCCCCAATCTAAAGAATGATCTAATGCTTTTCTCCACCCACTCCCCCCGCCCCATAATGGTATATCACTAGACTGGATTTTACAAAACCAGGGAATTCCTAAAGTGAGAAACAGACTAAAACCATTTCATCCTCTTCATTTAGATTTTTTCAAAAAGATTCTAACCATTAAGATCCCCAAATTATTTCAACACATTCATTCATCCATTCAACAAAGAAATACCAACTTTTTTTTAAAAAAAACCAAAACCCAAACCAAACCAAACCTCAGTCTTGGTTCATCCACAAATGCAGACTTTGGAGAGACTTCTCCAGCAACTGGGCTTCAACAAGTCACAGGTGTCCTTCAGAGTTATTCTGAACAACAACTGGGCAGCCACAGGCTCTTTCACCTGCTTTCGTTTTCTGTCTGTCTGAACGCAGTTGCAATTGTTGGCCGCCTTCAAGTTTTGGAATTACATGGATGCTTCTTGAGGTGCAACCTAGCTTACGAGACTTCTTCTACACTTGGGCTATCAGCCTGAGCTTCACCTGGTGGAGACACCTCCTTTCTGACCATTCCCCCTGCTGACTTTCTGAACACACTCCAGAGTGCCTTAAGGCATATTACTGTTTATCACTGATGCTTTGTTTTCCTCTTCCTGTGATCTTCAGCCTGTTGTTCTCCCAAGTCGCACTTATTTTCTGTTCTTTGCATTGTATTTACTTCATCGCACTCAGGTTTTTTTTCAAGCTAAATAATGAAAAAGTATAATTGTTAGCAACACGTTTAAGCAGTTCTGAACAACTAAACTGATAGTATGTGAGTTAGGGAAGAAGAACAGCCTGAAGGATGAGAACTTTTCCCTGCCTCCCAGAAAGGGGAAGGTGCCATAAAAGCCTGCATCTAGCTGGGACAATGACTGGAAATGGAGTAGCGTGATTCCCTATGGTTTTGCTTATATCACACTTATGCTTACAATAAAACACATCGGTATTTCCCTATCTGAATATAATGGAAGTATTAAATGACCATCAGACACCACAGGATACTAAACAAGGTTCAGACAATATTATCGAATTATAATTATTTACCCTTTTTTTGTCTGTAAGGAGAATACAACTTGTTTTGGCCAACACAAACTCAACGTACATTATGGTTTCATTGCCTCACTTGTTAAAAATATGCTTTTTAGAAAGCCTGAGGGCCTACGGAAAGCAACCAATTATAGAAAGTGAAGCAAAAAAAAAAAAAGTAGCCCTGCTGCAACAACAGATTTTTACTTTGTAACTGAAGTGCTTTCTCAATCCCTTATGTTTATTCTTGCAGTTTGCAACAAGAACAGGAAGTAAAGACTTGAAAGACTTCCACAAAGAAACATTACTTCATAACTAAAAATAGAAGTGACAGGAACAACAGTATCAGTCTTTAAAGTAAGTGAACAAATGACGTTAAGATCACCCTCCAGGAGTTATTAACTGGCAAAAAAAAGGAAATGATGACAGAAACCTGAAATTTACACATGCATCTACAGGCTTGTTTGCAAGAACAGAACTTAAGACTACAAGATATCACCAGTAACAAAAGTTTTGTGGGACTGAATGATGGCAAGCAATGACGCTACATAATTATGTACATATATATTTGAAGATTATGACTAAATCTTTGTGCTTTTAGACAGAGGTAACCATTAATTGATAAGGTTTAAGTTACAGACAAAAATTTAAAGCATTAGCATTTTTTGCTGTTGGCATGAGGATGTCAGGCACGCCAAATCTGTCCACAGCTCTTCCTTTGGTCTCAGCAATTCCCAGGGATAACGTAAGCAGTGTCAGTTTCCCTTTTTTGCTCTTACAGAAACAACTTTATCCATCGTAAAGGAATAAAGAAGAACATGTACCCATCCCCACACTTCACAAGTTAATTTTAGAACCAACACTTGCCAGTACTCTGTAAGAAGTGCTAGAAACAGGACAGCAATGCATACAAAATTTTGTGAAACAGGACGCAAACAACTTTAACTTGCTTCCTACAGATGTCCCACTTCAGATCACTACTCTAAACCAGCCAATAAACCCTGCATTGTTCTAGGACAAGCCTTTTGCCACTCCAACCCAGCCCAAGCCCGGAAAAAACAAAGTGCATCAGGTACTTTTACGAACGCTGCTGTAGCAGTGGGATCCTGCACTCACCTCCTAACCTCTGGCTCTCCCAGCCAGA